ATCTCCCACCCGAGCTCACAATCATATCAGCATTGTAACCTGACATGTTGCAGTGGCATGCTGTTGTTCAGTATGTGTTGCAGTAGCATGCTGGCATAGTATCGCTGTGGCAAGGCCCTCCAACCTCCTGTGAACAGGAAGGCTCGTTGTTCGTTGCTACTAACAATCTGGTGTGCCCTCGCTCAAGATGGCAGGAGTTATTACCTACAGCGTGCGGGCGAATCCTTCCCTGTGAGCGAACGCAACGAGGGCAACACAAATGATGTTAGAATCTTGAAAGTCATGCCAGTGAGGAGATCAGTCAGAGTGACACATGATTAGAATAAATCAGAAAGCTTCCTCTTGAGTGGGGTCTCGGGGACGTCACGTGACCCCCACATGGGCGATAGGAAGGGTAGTCCACAGGAGTCGTCATAGAGCTTATCCACGGGCTCTGCCGGTAGGAGCAGCTTCAAAGGGGATAACTCACCTGAAGCATCGCTCGCAAAGGAAGCCTTCTGCTCCAGAGGTCACATTGTGGGGTCTCGGCAGGCATAGGGCTGACGAAGTCGTTCGCCTCTCCATGGGGATGGTCATTGTCAGTCGCCTCCCTCGTTGGTGATTGAGCAGCTGCAGTGCTATTGGCTTGACGATAGTGTCCAAGCATGGTAGCGCGGATCATCTCAGCCACGTGAGCCTGCTGCTCAGCACGGCGTATAAGGAACTCCACTGCATCTCGTAGGGCCTGACAGTTGAGAGAATAGACCTTCATATTCGCACTAGTGTGGTACCTGGCATTCCTGGGCATCCTTGGGATCGGCCAGTCCCCTATTGGCTGAAGGAGACAACGAGCTACCGCTCGAATCCATATGGAAATCCAACAGGGCTAAGGTGACGTCAATGACGCAAGTCAGGCAATTTTGTGGCGAGTGACGCTGGACGCCCAGGCGTTACTCATAGCCCCGAAGTCGGCTTCCCTGCATGGTCATGCAGGGAAGCTATGGGTCTATGGTGCTAATGTTATGCATGTTCATGATCTTAATGCGGA